GATTCATGCCCAAGTTGGGCCTTGGGTATCAATACTTGCCGAAAAGGTACAGTCTTTTCAAGCTCTGGATAAGCGAGACCTGTGGCTGGTTATATTCTATAATGCCACCACTAGAATACCTGCATTAGAAAAAGACACACACAAAAAGAAGGGTTTATCAAAAAGAAACCCTTATGCTGTTGTGTGGTTTGCAATTCCTCTTGTAGCTCTGCAATTGAAACCTGTACTACGACTGCATAGGTAGGGTGTTTTCTTCCAAAGGGGAACAGTCAACCAGGCAATGGATCAATCAGCGCAAGGAGTGGGAAAGGGGTGGATGGAATATGCGGCAGCCTTCGACAACGCATATTACAGCAGCGTCATGTCAGCAGCAGTGACTTCCTCAGTACTATGCTATTTGTTCGTTTGCTCGTAGATCTAGGCAGGTCACAGCCAGACGCTTTTAGTTGCAGACAAAAGACGGACAGAAAGCCAGCATGACCACTCCCGTCTTTACTAAGAGCTAGAGGCTTGGGGGCTTTGGGGGCTTGGGCACGGCAAGAGAGGGTCTTTGTTAAAGCTTCAGTCCCACCGTGCTGCCCCATTTTGGGGGCCAATACCTACATTCAGGTCCATACAACCAGCACTCAGGCACTGAAGTAATAGGGAGCCTGCATTAGTTAGCCCACCGCCCGTCCACGCTCTCACCCAGGGACCTCCCTCGACGGACGGAGTCATTGTGCGCTTTCGCGAATGGGGTCACGCGGCGGCTCCTTTGCAGTAGCAGCAGCAAGCAGCAGCAAGCAGCAGCATTTCCTTCCCGGGCGAGTTGCTGTACAGAAGACAGTAGCAGCTCGCTGCTGTCTGCACTTGTACTGCCCGTAAATGGCGAGGACGTGGCAGAGCGGTCTGCGCACCCTTGCCTCTCAGTGAACAGCAACTTGTTCAACCATACGTACGGGCACACCCAGCCCCCGTGGTGATTATTCTGGACGGTGTAGACGCAACTTCCGGATAAGCGGGACTATACCGACAACAGGCGAATGGCACACGTAGCTTGGGTTCCGGTGCCGTTTTAGGGAATCAAGGGGCGTCCTTTAGATGATGATGTTAGGACAACGCTACGGAGTACGTTCTAGATGGTGACGATGTGGTACACCTCACGATACAGTCGGTATTCTCCTTACTCCGAATCCTACTCCCGTCATCACTAGCACACACGTGTATTGTATAGAATCACAATACGGTTTGAAGAGGATGTGGCGGTTCCGATCCACATGCTGCATACAGTTTACGGCCAAGCTACTGCAGAACTTGATGTTATTACGGTCCTCCTCCTCAAGAGCCCCCATCCAAAGAAACCCCAAAGTGGTAGGCAGCGGATTTCACAATCGACCCAGTTCATGCAAGTCGATTGGCTCGCCCTGCCCGTCAAGAGAGCGTGTGTGGCTGCCTCGACCGTATGCATGCAATCCTACATTGATTGCAGTCTAGGTGTTAAAAGGAAACAGCCACTTACATCGATGGTAAAACGAGTCACGCAAGCATCAAGCAGCAGGCAGTGACGATTCCTTCTTCATCTGCTAGTATCGACAGGTACGAAGCATAAGTCTTGCGTAAGTGGAATGAACCGTACCTGCCATCGCTCGTTATGGTTCCTATGCAAGTCGAAGACGAAGAGTGCACCTTCTCCTGAATCATCTATATGTGTCCGTTGACTCATACTAGTAGACTGGCTGATACGAGTTTGACACAGAAGCAGATAGATTGTTGATACACATTGCTCCTCTAGGTACTTATTCTCATAATTAGGACCACTCCATTTGGACAAATCGCTGGTTAGTCCAGACAACAAAGCATTCCTCCAATCGCAAGGTATGGTAAAGGGAAGTCTCTCAACGCTGCGAAAACGCCTGATCTAGGGATGGCAAAACTATCGTACAGCAAACAAAGTTGACCTCATCGGTTCTAAACTCCAGAACACATCGTCAATACGCCCCACCTGCGGTAACGCGATAAATGAGCCAGGATAGGTCACATATAGTTGCCCGTAGAGTCGTACGTCATTTGTCCTCAGGCAAGTGAACGCCAATAAATTCATTGATTATTTAAGCTGAGGCAAGAGGCATACCTCGCGGTCACGAGACTGATAGAAAGCAACAGGTAAATCACGAAGACAAGCAACCTCGTTGTGGGGTCCTCTGGCATTATCGGCGAAGGATAAGGACAGCGAACCTCACCGCTCTTTCAATAGGAGTTGTAAGGGACAACCTTGTGGCATCATCATCAGCACCACCATCATCATATTGCGTCCCAACCTCTACACTAGGACACCACTGCCTATGAGTTATGCCACGATCTCGTGCTAAGCGCCTTTTTGGTTAGGGTCCATATCCCTATCCCTGGGATTGCGGCAGTATCGGGGGTGACGTGGTGGCTCCTTCTTCGCTCGGAAGAGAACGGGTCCCCCGGCCTCATTTGGCACGCAAATCAAGCTGCCCGCTATGGTAAGTCGTGACAGACGGCCGTCGCCGTGTTATTCGAACATACTTCAGAGAAATCGTTTCAGTAGCCCGTGAATGGAGACGGAGACGTGAAAGCGCAGGACAGGTGCCGGATATTACCGGCTTCCCACATTCATCCTTGAACCCAGAGCGCACTACGGGACCGGGCAGCGTTCACGACCGGTCGGCATATGCGAGTGCTCGTGCTGCTCTTATCTTCGTGGTGGAATGAGTCGATAACGAAAAGGCTTCCTGTCTAGTTCGATGGTGCCTTGTTTGCGTGCATCTCTCACTACCAAAGGCGGCTGTAAAGACTAGGTGGCTCGAACTGTCCTTACATAACGTTATTCGATGATGCGTCGTAGTCCACGACTGGGCGAATCGACATCACATCTCCAATGAGCTCCTTTCCTGAATGAGAGGTCTCCATGCAACAACGACGGGTCAAGTTGACACGAGAGAGTGTGTACCAAACCATGAGCAGTTGAACTCAAACATACTAGTAGTCTGTAAGATAGACATTAGCGTAAGTTCATTTTTGATCTTCTTTCCACCAGAAATACAGTATAATGACATTGTGAACAGGTCGAAGAATGCGGAACCATGGCCGTAGCGCAGCAAAGATACTGTTACGGATTCCAGGTATATCCCATGCGTGATAGGGGGCTTAACCGGGAATGAAAGGTGATGCCAAGAACCGACGTTACTTTTGGTTTTCTCTGAAATCTGCGGGAAAGTCGCGATAGGGATTACCCTATCCCGTCTCTAGCGACGTCGAGATAGCGCTCTGCCGTTTACTCCTCATATCATGGCCTCAGGGTAAGAACACGTCGGATAACCAGAGTAACCGATGGCAGAGGTTGGGGGTATCTGTGTCGCCTTGGCTTCGAGGGGCATATTTGGCATTCCAGGTACGTATGATTGGGGACTCAAAAAACGAAGTTCATAGAGTTCAGTTACAGTCGGCACCGAATACTAACCTATCATAGAAGTCTTGGTCATTAGCTGGACGGCAGTACTGGTCGTCTCCTTGCGGCGACAAGTGAAACCAAGGGGGGTGATGTTGTTACTATCATACGGCCAAGGCCAGTATCCGATTTCCAGCAATCTTCTCGATACACATGCCTTAACACCGCTCTTAGTCCGGAGTTTACGGGCACTGGACCAATAGGTTGTATCTCTTGGCAGCTTGCTCAAGGCGACGTTACGACGTTAAGGAGCGGCTGACGAGCTGGTTATATTAATTACTAGTTTCAGATGCCCAGGTCAGGACCAAGTCAGGACCACGTCCCAACCGCGTGGGCCATGTGCAGAGTGCAGGTTGGTGTAACGACCGCGGCAGGGGCCGTTGTTGCAGGTCCCAAACTCTGTTCGAACATGGGCCCCCGACGTCGTAGAAGTAAACTCAACTCGATCACGCAAAACCGGTCGCCATGAAACAACTCCACTCGCGTGGTGAGAAGGGCCAAGATTCTGGTCAGAAGTTTGGCTTAAAACATATCGCCCGGAAAATAACATTTTTGGCATGACCGCCCCCTGGGCACTTGATCCAAGAGAGATCGACGATCGTACATCCGTGACAGCCGCAAACGCCGCGACGCGAGAGAGCTTAACCTTTAGGCTTAGACTTGACAGGCACTTAATTCGATTGGATCGGATGCTGATTGGACATGGCTACCCTTCTCCAGCCTCACGTGGTTGTAGGCTTCACGTGACAGCTGTCCATCGGGGGGGTTCTCCCATTATGTCCGCCTATCAAGCCGAGACAGTACTTAGAGGCACATGCATACATACCGGTAGTGCGTACATATTATTTTTTACTGCCGAGAGTCTTCTCCATCGCAGAGGGCGATCGCCCAGGGTTGGGTTATTTGCCCCCGGTAGTCTGACCTCTCAAGCGACCTCCAGAACCCAAGCCGATACGGGTTGAGCCGAGGTGGGAAATCTGCAGATGATGGTGATCTTCGACTCTCGGATAGAAACCTTAAAACTGGCGAAGCTGATTAGTGTGTTGCAGCTAAAGATCTCTAAGAACGCTTGACCAAGTCGTCCTCCCTGCTGTAGATTCAGTGCGCATGCACAACAATGTGTACCCGACGTCTTAGTGACGAGAGATCGACAAAAACAATCTCGCTTTTGAGGATTAATCTTCAGCAAAAGTCAATCTACAAGGAAGACATGCATTTGGTATACAAGATACAGTGCCAGAGGGACGGCCCGACGCAGTTTTTGGTTTATACACAACACTGGTAAACAAGGTAACCCCATCTATCTTATCACTCATGACCTGCTCGCGCATGCTTTCTCCAGGATGGCCACATGCAACATGGGCAAAAGGGCAAAAAGTTCCACAAAATGAATGAGTCTAAGCTCTACTCCGAATCGGGGAATCGAACCCCGGGCTTGACGGCAACCCCTCTTGATTGTGGGAAGAATGAGAGCGTCAAATGTTAGCCACTACACCAATTCGGAGAAAATTGTAATATGAAGGTATAGGTGGGATGGAACCACCGCTGCTGGACTCGCGGGGAATCGAACCCCGGACCACTCCCAAGTTTCTCGTGAGCCGTTTTTCTCAGAAAGAAGATGAACACGATCAAATGCTAAGGGAGTATTATACCACTAAACCACAAGCCCTACCAGGCAGGAAGCTTACGAGCTTCCTCGGTGTGGGCTCGTCGGTCGCTAAAATGACATTTGGCGTCTGCCTTGGTGAAGAGACTTGAGGTTTTGGTGGTGCCTGATGGTTGTTGTAGTGCCGCTAAGCAACAAGGGCCCGAATTTGAACGCGTTAGCTCAGCTCAAGCGTGCGCCCAAATGAGCCGACGGTGGAACTTTAGCTTCTTGATCACCTACGCCGATATCGTGGGTAGTATCAACCCCTCCAAAGAGTTGACCTTTTCTGCACAGAAAGAAAAAAAAAAAAAAAAGCAAATCTGCGCGCCCATGGGCAACTCGGAAAATTACAGGTTGATACGAAGAATGACTAACATGAGGGAATACCAAGTCCATAGGAGGTGGGAATCTAGTCAAGCTTTTCCGAGTCCTTCCGGTCAAGGCAGGGGAATTTGGGCCGTAACTGTGATGACTCTTAACCGTCAACCGTTCAAATTCCACCCACAAACCTATCTTGGGTTGCAACCGTGGCTGTGGGCGGTTGATAAGAATCTGTCATCTGACGCATGCCGAAGCACTCTAGCAAAGTGTGTCTCCAAGGCAAACAAGAATATTCCCTCCCATCTACCTACCTACCTACCTACCTACCTACCTACCTACCTACCTACCTATCTACCTCTATCTTCCTACCTACGTTACGCAGCATTGGTTGTCTCCAGTCACACCGAAGGCGGCAAGGTTATGGTGTGGTCGATAACGGTAGGTGGTATTTGGTATGGGATGTACACGAGTGAGGGGAGCATATCGACGCGCAGTAACTCTCCGCACCAGAAGCACCTACGGTACTACAATACTATCCATGCGCGCGTGTGTGTAGGCAGTAAGTATACGAGGTAGTAAGAGGTCTGGTGTGTAGGTATGGCATTTCCTCGAAACCAGCGCACTAATTTGAAAATGCCCATTTCTTGATGGTTGTCGATTGTTGTTAGCGCCATAAGCTTTGTCGAATTCCCTGTTTTGCATATCCATCTTGATGGTCATTCTGCCTTTTTCCGTCTCCATCACAAGTCTCCATTAGTATTAGTAGTTCGTTCTTTGATAGTAGTCAGATAGTATAGTTCGTCGGTGGTCTTACAAAGCATCCTTGCGCATTCACTTACCTATGTACTTACATCCCAACTAATACGCCTGAGTAACCTGCGTTAGTTACTTGCTTCAGGTAGGTACTATAGTTGACAGGACACGCTTAGGTATACAGAAAAACATACAGCATACTATGTATGCACTAATAGCAGGCTTCCAACCAGCGATGTCCTACCTATAGCAAGGAAGTACTGCACCTACCATGTCCGTCTCTCTCTCTACCGTTCCTCGACCACCATAGCCGCAGCAGCCGGGCCTTTTGCGCTCCTTGATTGGAGATTGGACAAGTTATGTATGCGTATGGTATGGGGGGTACGGTATGGTATTTGCATGCCTGCATCATTTCTACATCACGCCACGGCAACGCGCAACACAAGGAGTTGAAGCCAAAGTGGCCGAAGCACCCAACTCATGCAAGGTACAAACGCGGGCGCGCTGCAGCGATGCAGCACTCCCGATCCCTGGCCGTGCATTTACGATCGACTCACTAACACCGCAGCGAATGATACCGGAGCTCACGAGCCTCATCAGCGTCGCATACAGGCGCACACCCGGCCGCCGATGCGTGGGGCATGCCTGGGTACATGGGGGACATGAGGGGACATGAGGGACATGGGCCCGCCGAAGAGGGTGTGCAAACCATGTCAGATGCCCTATCTGACAAGACAGGATAAGACAAGAGGATAAGACAAGACCCAAGCTTCGCGACAAGAAAAGTGAGCGAGAAAGTGACAAGACACAGACAAAAGTGATCGGAAGAAGAAGAGTGGGGAGGAGAGGAGGGCAGAAGAGGAGAGCAGAGGAGACGACAGAGATAATCGGCTTGTCTTACTTCTTACGAGGCAATAGCTCGTGGTGCACTCGTATCCTCGCCTCCTCGCCCAGTTTTTGCGGTTTCTGCGGCCGGCCCGCACACCATCTTTCATATGCGTCGTTCCCTTTTGGGAATATCTCTGCCTCCTGGTCCTGCTCTTATCCCCTCCAGCTCCCCTCCTAGAGTCTCCTAGTGCACACTAGTCGGAGATGTGAGTGAGCAGGTATAAGTGGGAGAGTGGGAGAGTGGGAGTGTGAGTGAGTCTTCCGTGGCCCTGCGCCCTGTGATTTGATTCATTCACGGCAACAAGGGAATAGTAAGTAGTAGACCGGCGCCCTCTCTTTCTCTCTAAAGCACTACTCTTTCTGGGTGTGGGGTTCTTGTTGAAGATACCTCCTCGTCTTGACAGCTGAGGGACCGGGATGACCACCACACATCGCCCATCTTTACCGACCATGGTACGTATACTATACCTACTACTTACTACTTACTGCTACCTGCTGCTGAAACCCACAAGGCAGCGTCTTGGATCAACAGGTGACTGACTAACCGAGCACCAGCCACTTTCTCTTACACATACACTCTTACTCACACTCAAAGCACATATGCCTTCTGCCTGTGATAACTGTATATATATCTGGCCTCACCGCCGTCTTTTCCTGTTTTGTGTCGTTTCGATTTTCACACTTTTGGCTCGAGGCTGCCGGTTTCTTCCCCTCTTGCCACCTACACGCTCACTAAGTATACTTCTTCTTGAAGAGTTAGTCTGGACCCGGGATACTTTCTAAAGATCTCTATAATACCCGTAGGGAGCATGACCTATCTCTCCTGGCCATTGAGATATTAATATCGACCGAGCTTGGTTGAAATGAAGACTTGGAAACCTGGCTTCCGTGATCAAGGACCCTGGCTCTCCCACATTTCACTATAATCCAATCAAACATGCCTCTCTTACCATCAGACGCACTCCACGCAGTGCACAGGCAGTCATGGCCGCCTAACGGGCTGTGGCCTTCCAGTCCCAGCCGCATCCCACCGGCGTTGGATGAAGACAAGGACGGGCTCTCTGCAGACGATGAAGACATCGACCACACCTCAAGGCCCGAGAATCCTCTCAAGTACTTCTTGACGCCCGCCACGCCTAAAGACGAGGAGCTGGAGTTTGAGTTCGACTTCGATGCAGGCATCGAGGACTCCAACAGCCCCCGTCAGATCGTCCGCAGCGTGAGCCCGTCCACGCTCGACGGTCTCAGGCGGTACAAGCCTAGGAGCGAGAAAGAAAGAGACTGCGCCATCCTGGATGACGACGACGACATTGAATACAGCGACGAGGACGACGACGAGGACTACATACGGTTCACTCCTCAGAAATCGCTCCCCTTTGGCCTCGACGACTACTTCGATCACCCGCCGCGCCACAGCTCTCCCAACCACCGCACTACGGATGCTCTGCTCTCGCCATCCTCACCATCCTCATTCCACGTGGGATCACCCCGGGGCCGTCTGGCCAAGCGCTTCGCGCCGCCTCCGCCGTCTCGTCGTGTGAGGGCACTCGGGCGAACGCTGCAGCGGCGGCACTCCTGGCGCGAACCCAGCCCGGACGTCTGGTCCATCGACGAAGAGCCAGAGAAGGAAACGATGAGCGAGATGGGGCTCAGCGTCGAGGATCTCAATAGCCACGACAACAACAAGACTCAACCTATAGACATACCGGCTGCAAAGCCCAGGAAGAAGAAGGTCCGGTTTGTCTTGCCGGCTACCCAGTAGTAGTTTTACATATATCATCTATCCACTATCTACTCTTCTCATTCCTTGCATATTTCCTAATCTCGGTCGGGGAGGAACGGGGAAGGGGTTATATTGCATGGTACGGAGTTGCGGGCTCTTCATTATATCGGTGGTGGCTTTTCCTTTTTTGCATCATGGTCACTCAGGTTTACCCATATATCCCCATCGTCATCATCATTATCACTGCTTCTACATAGTATCAGGTCCTTAGCATATACACGGCGTCTGGACAGGATATGGGGGGTTTCTGACGGTTTGTTGGTCTCTTCTTCATTTCCATGGGGGTTATAGGCATTGTAGTCAGTTTGGTAATACCTTGTCTGTACGCGTGGGATTTGGTTATAATACATGGCAACCAAAATATTTACCTGAATATAAATCACACTAAATTGGATCAAATACTCTACAATGTTACCCTATGTGACAGCATGTAGTGTGACGGTACTCCCTTCATCACGTTGATGTGCCCCCCCACGCCCGTGCCTCGAAGGAACTAAACGAACATCTGTTATAGAAAAATTGTGAGTGCCGTCGGCGATCTCCGTAAAGAGAGAAAAAATTTAACAAGTAAGCTCATTGTGTATGTCTTTACCAGCCCGAGCCGGTCAGCAACGGAGGGCAGACGGTAGAAACCCCCTCCGCTTCCTTACCTTTCCTTATTAGGCGAGAACGTGAACGACGTAAGCAATAAGACACGGCCATTCAACGCTGCTCTTCCGGACCGCTCCGATACCTTCATTTTTCACATGTGTGTCCCTGGGACCGCGCACGCTCTGTTTCATTCGTATGTCTTTTCTCGATGAGGGTAGTGTAGATCATGCCCACCAGCGTTGCGTAGTTAGTCTTACGTAACCTTCCCTCCCTTCCTACTTATCCGTTCGCGTCCACGCGTTGTGCACAGCCCGCCGTTACTCACATGCTCCGCTGTTCCGGATACTCGGGATGGCGATTTCTATCTATCCAATGTCTAATCTATTAGCTGTCTCTAGTGTAAGTGTGAATGATGTCTCCGATTCGGTTCTCCGGGTACATGTGTGTATCATGCATGTATTCGTGTTCTATATCATGTACCACATTAGACTCAGATAGCTACTTATTCCCGTCTCGTGACTAATATGAAGCTAACCTTTTTTAATTCGTTGGCCCTACGCCTCAGATCGGATTCCCTCATGCATATGCAATGTACGGTAGATCCAGCGGCAACCTGCAACCTCAGCCTTGCAGTGGATGTTGAAGGTTATTTCGTACAGGGATTGGGCATCACTTTGCGAACTTG